TTTTTATTTATCTTTTTTCTCTTCTTGCTTTCTGAACACTAAATGGAAAATTAGTATGGTATCAGACACAGAACTCCAAAGGTCATCTTTAAAAATCAGTTTATTGAGTAGGAAGCACTCATCCCTCATGTCACATAGATGTTTCCTGCCTCATTCCTAAAAAAACTGTAGAGAATAGTGGGATTCATATCCTTCTGTCCAGACACACTGGCCTAAACACAACTTTCTTCACATATTGAGAGCTTGGGAAATTATATGCACTCTACTACTCTCAGATTTTCCCTGTTTTAACACAAATAACAAAATAAATAAGTCTAACAAAAGCTTATTTTATATTTGTCACTAATAAAATACACTAATTGTGTGTGTCAATATCCCCATTGCATGACAGTATTTTGAAATACTTCCTCTCCTTTTTTCTGTTTTCTCCTTCTGAAATTCCTCCTAGGCATATCTGAAACTTGTCATTCCATCCTTACTGTCTTTAACCTCCTTCTCATATTTTACATCACTTTATCTCTGATCATTTTTCCCTGTTTATTGGACTATTTCTTCATATTTATCTTCCAGTTCATTAATGATCTCTTCAACTATGTCTAATGTGCTATTTAATATATCCATTGACTTTCTAATTTCAGTGACTATATTTTTCACTTCTAGAAGTTTCTCCTATTTTTCTAAACTACTTGTCTTTTAAAAAAAAACTTTCATTTTGAAATAATTTTAGATTTATAGAAGAATTACAAAAGTAGTGTAAAGCATTCCTATGTACCATTCACCCAGATTCCCCAAATGTTAATATCTTACAGAACCATGATAAATATTACATAAATATTTATCAAAGTTAAGAAATTCATGTTAGTACACAATACTATTAACTCAACCAGATTTTATTTGGATTTCACCAATTTTGCCATAAATATCCTTTCTTTTCTGTTCCCCTAACCAAACCAGGATATCACATTTCATTTAGTTGTCATTTCTCCTTAGCGTCTGACAATCAGTGATAGTTTCTTATACAGTCTGTATTCCATCCTGGGATCCCTGACATCCTAGTTGACTTTTTTTTCAGTCTGCATTCAGGGAAGTTCATTCTTAGTTATATGCAACATGGGTTTTGACAAATGCATAGAATCATATATCAACTACCACAATATCATTAAAGAACAATTCAATAACCCAAAAAATTCCACTGTGATGCCCCCTCCCCCGCCTTGAAGTCAATCCCTACCTCACCATTCCTGATAAAAAACTAATTTGTTTTTCATGCCCATAGTTTTGCCTGTTCCAAATTGTTTTACAAATGAAATTACACAACATGTAGCCTTAGGGTCTGGCTTCTTTCACTAAGCAAAATGTATTTTAAGATTCAGCCGTTTTGCTGTGTGACTCAGATTCACTCCTTCTTGCTTTTCGTACATTTCAGTTTTGAAGCATGTACTGTTCCACCCTGGGCCACATTCCCTTGGGCCATCTGCTTTCAGTGTCTCACCTAAAGCAAGTTCTTCCGTACCTCTCTACTTTTCCTGCCTTGGAATTTCCACTCGTGCCAGACACTCTGACATAGCTCAGAAGTACAATACCCACAGAGGTATTATCACTCAACCACCAGGGCATATGAGTTAGTGGATAAATGCCACACCTGCCCAGTCCCTCAGTGGATTAACTCTGAGGAGTATTCTGCAGGGTTCATGAATCCCCAGTGGGTCTGAGTTCAAATTTCCCTGTGTAGAAGCCAGATTAATAATGCCCATATTTTGGGGTTTTCTCCCTTCTTTGAAATTCTGTTACCTCAATTGTCCTCCCAAGGTTCACTTCCCAAATAAACTGTCTCACCCAAGTCCATGTGTCAGGCTGTTGTCTCTTCTAGAACACTCTCCCTAGATATCCCCATAATTCACTCCCTCACCTGTATGATGTGTTCATTGTTACTTCTCGGTGAGATATTTTCTTGTCATCCTATTTTAAATTACAAGCCTTATCTCTCCTTGCTTTATTTATTTAATAGCACTTATCACCATCTAACTTCATATATGTATGAGTAATTAATTTTATTAATTTTAACTAGAATATCAGCTCTATGAATGCAGTGATTTTAGTCTAATTTGGTAATTGTTGTGTCTCTATCACCTAAAACACTCCTTGGAACATAGCAGGCACTCAATTAAAATATTTTTTATTTTTATTAATAACTTAATCTCTAAACAAGGTTGATTCTACTCAGTATAAGAATAGACTACCTATGAAAAAAACCCTGAAAACTTTACTGACCTTCAAAATTGAATGGTAGTGAAACCAAAGGCAGCTTTCAAAAGGAAGCCAGCTAACTCCATCACAGACATTATAAAGAACATCCCCTTGCTTAGCATGGAGCTTGATCAGATCCTCTAAGTTGCCTTTGAATTCTAAAATACTATACTACTAAGAATAAAATATTATACTACATGGCATAAAATTGGCATGATACCAATATCTTTTCCTTAACAGTTTATATGAAACCAAATCTAACAATATATTCCATGCATCTGGTTAGCCTATTTAATGATTCCCATTACAGGGAAGTATACTTTTTTATCTTTAAAATTTAAGTCTCATTTTCAGTGTTTTTTTTTATAAGAAAGGAAAAATCATTCTTGGTTTCCTCAAACAAAAACCAAAGTTGTTTTTATCACATTTTTATTACCTGGGCACTGGATAAAGGACCATTCATAGTTCTTTTCTTTAGGACAAAGACTGGTATCAAGAGCCATCTCACTACTGTGCATTCCAACAAGCTTCATTGGTCCCCGTGAAGATCCTTCAATGCAGTGTCCTCTTCCTGTATCACTAGGATCATTACACCAGCCACATCCAGGTTGTTCCAAACATTGTCCACAGGTTCTCAATCCAGAACAATTATGAGCTACATGACAGGAACATTAACAAATATGTTATATGACTTTATATTCAAATAGAATTGTGAGCTAATAAAAATAACTATGGTCTGAAAAAAAGACAATAAAAGATAATCTATAGATAATGTAAACTTTTTTTTAAAACTCTAAGACACAGCAATTACTTAAAGCAAACAAAACATACATAATGAACAAAGAGTTGATAAACAGACTGACTGGAGGATGAAAAAAGGTGCGGTAACTATGGCAAGGAGATACATGAAGTCAGTACTTAGAATCCTTAGAACTTTGCCAGTATTAGGGCCTTTGGGGAAATGATCCAGGGGCCCATAGGTGCACCTGCCACTGTCTGAGATGTAGGGCCATGTGAGCTGTTCTTGTGCCTAATAGGGCCTCCAAGGAAAACCTCTGCATTTGCCTGTAAACATCCAGTGTAAGGAATGCTTGCCCATTCCTGAGACAGCTGAGTCCTTTCTGCAGTCTCTCATCAACAATGCTCTTCCCACAGGTCTAAGACTCTAATATGTGGCTAACATGTGGTAAGTAAACTGAATCTCACCCAAAGAGCCAAACTGAATGGGAACCTGGAAGCCAATACTCGGCCTCAGCCAGGCAACCAGCAGCCTAGGATCTCTCAGACTTTCAGGACTACATAAGATCAATTGCTAAAACTCGCCCTTTTTTGTTTAACGGATGTAGAACCTATGAGCTTCACCAAAGTCTATAACCGCTGTGTTGCCTTTTTCAAGGAGGAACTTATTAGTCTGCTATCATATTCACAATCAATGCTATATGATGTTTTAAATTTTTAATTCACAATCTGAGTATCCTACACTGGGCTGAGCCTTTCTTTAATTACTTTCAGTGGCGTTCTGCTAAAAAAGGCACATTTTGCCTTGAGAATTGTTTATCCATAGATGATAGTGATAGAGGCACAAGGTACCATGAATGACGTCTTCCAGTCACATGCTAGAAAAACTCCCAGAGCAACAAACAATGGCAGAGTTCTGGCCTACTCAATTTCACTGTTATGGTGGTAATAATTTAATCACTACTCAGTGTCTTAATATTACAGGAAACAAAAATGTTCCCTACAAGCTTCTTAGTGAACATCAGAAACTCAATATAGCACACTGTGCAGGGACAACAGAATATTGGATTAAAGAATTCATCAATTACAATATGATCTGTTGTTATGAATTTTTTACATGCTGAGCATTTCAGAAATTGGATGTAAGAAGGTAGAGAATGAGTACCATCTTCATCAATTATAATATGATCTGTTGTTATGAATTTTTTGCATGCTGAGCATTTCAGAAATTGGATGTAAGAGGGTACAGAATGAATACCATCACCTATGTTTCCTTATTAAAGGGAAGAATATTCTTTGAGTCACTGAACAAAAGTAACTGTTTCTCCTATAAATAATTTACTGACATGAATACACTTCCTTTTGAAATTTATATTTTTCTACAGTACACAGTGGTAAATTAAATTTAAATTTTAAATATCCGTAGATAACTGAACATTTTATATATTACCATATTTCTTTGTTTTCTTGCTTTGAAATATTTCTCTTATATCTATGATTATAGCTAACCCACAGTATTGTTGACTGGGTTATTCTAATTGTCTTCAAAACTATATTGGACTGGTGGGAAATAATGGAACTATCAAATTAGGTATGTTATCTTGACATTCCAATTATTTACTATTATTTGATGAGTTGAAGTAAAACTTTCCTAGGTCTTACCAAGAATAAATCTGGTTTTATTTTATAGCCTATGGGTATCTCCTAGGAAAGTAAATTTTATTTGAGGACTATCTTTTTTAAGGAAGATAACCAACAAAATATCTTAAAGAAGTGTTTGTACAAATTAAATCTAAACTCTTCTCACATACAGCATTTATCTTAATGCTTTTCAAACATGGGGAAATCTTAGATGATAGAGCCCTAGGTTTCTTGCATTGACTGAATGACAAACTATTAATCATCTAGTTCTGTTTATCTATACAATTTCAGGCCTTAATAACCAGTCACAAAATGTCATATTCAGAGCAATAATTCAATCCGTTAGTTTTATTTTAGTTATGAAACTATTACATGAGGTAATGTTGGTTTTGTTTGTACTTAAGGGTAGAAAGCAATATTCCCTGATAAAAGATTAACAGAAAATTCATTCTGTAGTACTTAAAGGTGAGTCAAAAACTGACATTATTTTTTTTAATTTTCTTAAAACAAAAAATACATTCGCTATTTTTCAGAAAACAATAATATAAGAAAGCTATTGTAGGCTGTGTTATTTGTCCTAAGCTATGGATAGTATAGAGATGATTTATGAACCTACAAGTAATTAGAGCAATCATTTTTATCTTACTTTATTATTTTTGGATTTTTGAAAGCTTAAATTATAAAACTTTTAATACAGTTTATGGAATGTGTTAAGAATTTGAAAAATCAATCTATAATAAATTATATCATCAAATGATTACTGGAAACTTCCAGTTTCCAGTTCAGCATGTAAGGGGTTTAGAAGTCACCACTCCATTCCAACCAAAGAAAAAAAGCAGCATAAACTGAAAAGTCAGCAACTCTTCTTAGATCTACCAGTGGTTTCCCCTGCCCTCAAAACTGCAGGATAAACAGGGAGATACAGAGAATCACAAATAAAAGTAGAAGCCTCTGTGGGACTCAGTACTAGGGTAAGACCTCCTGAATGGGAACTGATGCAATGCAGGAGGCTCAGTGTGGGCGACGCTGAGACTTAGCATCCCCAGGGGGACCCAGTCACAGGCAGACCCGCACTCTTGAGAGCTTTTCTTCCAGGAGCTCTACCATGGCCAGGTCCTCACAGTGAATGCTGAAGAAAACCTTCCTTGTGCCAATAGTAGGGTGGGGAGAAAAAGAAACATTTTGAAGCATGCCAGAGCATTCATTCAGTTCTTCTTAACAAGGCCTGGAAAAACTATTTAACAGAGGCTCGACTTCCAGGGTTTTGTCAGAACCTAACCTAGGTCAAAGAAAACACCCAACCCAACCTGCTCCGGCATATTCCACACGTGGAGGGGAAACACACAACTCCAGCTCCCTCCAGCCATCCTGCACTGCCTCGGAGGGAAAAATCAACTGAGAAGCACTTTTGAAGTTCACAAAATGGGGCACAGGCTCACCAAAGACTGAGACCTAATCACCCAATCCAGGAATTCTCATGCATTCCTGGGAATGCAAAATACAGACAGTCTGAAAGATAGGTTCAGCACTTGCTTACAAAACTAAACATAAAATCCATACCATAAAATCCAGCAATCACCCTCTCTGGTATTCACCCAAGTGAATTTAAAATGTATGTCCACACAAAACCTACACATGGGTATTTATAGCAGCTTTATCATAATTGGCAACACAGAAAGCAACCAAGATGCCCTTTAAAAGGTGAGTAGATTAATGCACTGTGGTCCATCCAGACAATGGAATATTATTCAGCTCTAAAAATAAATAAGCTACCAAGCGAGGAAAAGACATGGAGGAAATGCACATACTAAGGGAAAGAAGCCAATCCAAAAAGGCTACATAGCATCTGATTCCACCTATACGACATTCTAGAAAAAGCAAAACTATGGAGAGAGTAAAAAGATAAGTGATTGCTAGGGGTTAGGAGGGACAGATTAATCGGAAGGAGCACAGAGGATTACTAGGGCAGTAAAACCACTCTGTGCAGTACTATAATGATGGATACATACCATTACGTTTGTTAAACCCCAAAGAATGTACCACACCAACAGTGAACCCCAAGTAAACTATGGACTTTGGATGCTAATGATGATTCAATGTAGGTTCATCAGTTGTAATAAATGTCCCACACTGGTGTGACACATTGACAGTGGGGAAGGTTATGCACGTGTGGGGGCAGAAGATACATGAGAAATCTCTGTACCTACCTCCCACTATGGCTGTGAACCTAAAAGTAAAGTTCTATTAATTTTTAAAAAGACTACCTTCCCTAACTGCCAAGAAAAAAAATGTTTATGTATGTATATAAGCCTCTAAAATACTGAAAGAAATATACATTTGTGAAATGTATACTATATCCTCATGGGTCCTATTATTCCATATTCACTATATCAATGTAATTGCATTTTATTTGAACTGGTATATATTAAGAAATAAATCTATTATGGTTTAAACAATCCCCTAGAAATTCAATTTCACAAATAGGATATTAAATGTTTTAAGTAAAAGTATATCAATTATTAATAATTCCAATTAGTAACAAAGCTTTCTCAGAAAGCATTAGGCAAAATTTGTCTTAAACTATATTTCTTTTCTTCAATGTGTGAATTTTAAACATTAATGTCACAATAATACAACCGGAAAATACTGGAGAGTACTGGAAAATTTTTATTTGTTACCTATTAGCAAAAAATGTTTCCTTCAAATTCCATTTACTAAAAAACCTCAAATGGTTATTGAAACAACTTTCTAAAAGCAAAATAAAACTGACCATTTCTGATATCGTTTTATTGAAAGATTTTTTAAAGACTACTGTCAAATGTTTGGTGAATACTAGACACATATAGTAGAAAACAATAATGTAAATTTATTGCATATAATTCATACTTTTTAAACGATATAAAGTTTAAGCAAAAGAATGACAAAGCCACGGCCCAGAAGCTAACACCTTTGAAAGACTAACACTTAGCTGCTTTGAGCAGTTGGATTTTGAGCAAGGATGTCATCTTCACTCCTAGCCCCTCTTTTATTTCCTGGCATTTCCTCGCTGCTCAATAAATGCTTCTTGGTTAAAAACAATGGAAAAGAATTGAACATACAGAGAAAGAGTCATTTTTTCACAAGGAGTAGATTACTGCTGGTTACATACTACTTCCAGAAAATACAAGGTCTACTTGAGGCAAAGTATAATGCTCCTTTTTCCCACTAGGATGCACAGGGCATAAAATTTTTAAAGCTGTGGAATAAAAATAACTGTTATCAGACATCGTCAGCACCAATGAGCAATATATAGACACAGGGAAGGCAGATGTGACAAAAGTAACAATGAAAGGAAAGATCTATGGAAAAGAAAAATCCAACAGACTGGACTAACTGCTCAAGGAACAAATTGTAGACATAGAAAATAAAGCCTCTAAACAATCAGGAAAACAAAAGAAACAAAAAATCAAATATGAGAACATAAAAACAGAAGAACTGACCGATGCATGCCCAGCTGACAACCCCACCAGCAGTAATTATTTAGTTCATCAGTGGCAAAAATGTAATCCATAGTTGTGTCAAATAGTTTCTCACATTTAATTTATGTTCTCAAAAGATGCAGTTAGAATTTTTATAGTGGAATTACAAAGTTCTCAAATAAGTCATTTTAAATAGATAAAAAGCTCTAAATAAAAACAAAAAAGGAAAAAATATCTGAATGTTGGCAAAACACAGACATGGAAGTAGAAGTGAATTTAAGAGATATTGAGATTATAACTAGAAATTGTAAAAACTATTTTAAAATTTCCAACAAGTAATAAAAAATAATAATAATCAAAGCATTAAAAGAATTTTAAACAGGTGAGAATGAAACTACTCTTCAGATTGAAAGAGCTAGTGAAAAGCTATTTTTAAAAGCCCCATTACTAGAAAACTAGACTGAAACAAATTACAAAGTTTGGAATGCCAAGGATAAAAGAAAAATCTTCAGAGCTCTCAAAGAAAGAGAAAAAAAAAAACAACACATATCCCACAAAGAAAAGAAATTAAATTGGCATGAGAATTCTCATCCAAAACACCAAACACTAGAAGTTATGAGGAAAGAATTATTTACAACTCCACATCCAGCCATTTTTATATTCAAGTAAACATGAAAAATACACTTTCAGACATGCAAAGACTCAAAAAACTTACTAGCCCCAAATTTATTTGGAAAGAATTACTGAAGACTGTTCTCCAAAAGATGAACAAATAAGAAGGAAGGAATGAAATTCAAGAAAGATTTGTGAGCAGAGAAAAACTGAGACTTAACTCCAAATCATTTTTAGAAAGTTCTTAAGAGTGTAAGAGCTTGGAGACTTTCCAAACTCCTTTTTCCTTCCCATTTAGCCTCTTTTTATTGTGAAATATAACACATACAGAGAAGTACATAAAGAAAAATGTGAGACTGAGAAATCATTGTAAATACTGTGTACCTACACCCATCCTAGAGGTTGAACATTGCCTCCCTGGTACCGTTTTCCTAAGCAGCGCCCCTAAAATTTTCCTAGACGTACCCACTATCTGACATTTATAATAACTTTTTGCCTTACTCTATAGTTTTACCACCTAAATATTAATTCCTAAACAATATAGTGTAGTTCTGTAGTTCTGCCTGTTTTTAACTTTATCTAAATGGAGTCACACAGTATGTAATCTTCCGTGTCTGTCTTCTTTCACTGAACTTAAATGTTTGTGGAGAAATAAACATGCCTATGAGGGCAGAAGAGACAGAGTACTGTCTCAGTTCCCCACAAGTCCCCAACTCTAGTATTGAACTTTCCCAGGCAGCTGGCTCTTAGTTACAAGATGTTTTCTGTGCTAGCAAGACTATTTTACACCTGCAAAAAACCCATGGCCATACTCTTCATCAGGTACATCCCCATTCCTTGGCAAAGTTCCTAAAAAGAGACCACAACAGGGTCTCAACCCATATTTATATCCAGCCATGCCTGTCCTAGAAATCCCTCTCCACCTATTGCCAAGAGACTGAGGAACGAAGAGCTGCGACAGCCCCAGCTTAGTAGTTCTCATCTGTACTGTGGTCCTTACTGTTTGCCCCAGCTCTTCACACAGCAGTGGTGCCCAGCAGAAAGAAAATGGCTTTGGCCGAGTCAGATATGGTTTGCCCTTGAGATATGAGAGCATCTTCCTTGGGAGTGATGGAAGGTCTGGAAAAGCCAGTGAGTCTCCACCTGCATTGTCTTAAGCAGCTTGCTGCCTCTAAATGAGAAGGTCATTCATACAAGCAAGGGCTGATAACTGGAGGACCATGTTGCCTGAGGGCGCTGAATCCCAGGAGCAAACCTCAAAACAGCAGGTTCACCACTAAAAGGAATCCCAGAATTATGAAGCTCCCCCTAAAAGAAGTAGCTCTTCCTTCTTCTTAGAAAGAAAACAGGAGAGCTCAGAAGAAGTATGGAAGGAAGGGAGACGGGCAGACAATGCATGTTGCTGCTAGGAGTTACTCAGACCTCATCACAGCAGCGTAGCCAGTGGCTGCTCCTGGAGGAGGAATGCCAGGAAACCACTGGGCTGGTAAGAAAGCCCCGAAGGTACTTCAGAAAGCAAGAGGAACAGGCTGTTACAGCCCACACCCCAAGGAAACCTACGGTGGCTGCTTCTAAACCTACGGTGGTAACAGAGGGACGCCAGTGGACTGATGCAAACAGCTGGAACAGACCAACAGGCACTGCAGAGATGGGGTTAAGGGACAAGATAATGTTTTGTAACTTAGCAACCATGAGGGGAAAGGAATTAGAATTGGTATAAGATCCCTGGGAACATTCTCTCATAAAGATCGGAACTGTACCTTTCAACTACAGCACAAGCCTGAGTGTAATCCACACTGAACTTCAGGCAGCTGCTGTTATCGCCTGTAACTGCAGGTCCTTTGGGGCCTGGCACATGTTAACAGGATTAACTCAGTGAAAACCCTGTTTATTGTAGGCAAAACTATTGGGAGGGAAACAAAACAAACCTAAGGACTCCTGGTCCTTCTGTACTAGTTAAGTTTCCTAGACATTCAGGAGTTGGGAAGTAGGCAACTGAAACAAAATATTCCTCTCATTTCAACTGTGCCTCTGAACTTAGCAAGTGAATGGATGTTCTGATTTGTCCAAATAAAGGATTTCTGGATGAACAAAAACATGGACTGCATCTTAATCTGAGGTGATTCTCCAGCTAACTGTGGTTGTGGAATGGTGTCTCCTGGACCCCTGCAAAGCACATTATTCAACAAAAAGGACATAAAGTCTAAATCAATCACAGGAAGGACAGACTCCAATTAGTGGGACATGAATAAAGGTATTCCACATTGAGAAGCAGGAAGGAAATAATCCTTTCTACCTTCTTATTACAAATCTGAACAGACCAATTTATTCATGTCCCTGATGGAAAGCCATCTTCTTGATGAGGCCCAGTCAGAATATGGATTGTGGAAAAAGAAACCATAGATTTTGCTAGCAGGGAGCTAACTGAGACCAGTAGCTTCTACATTCACTCACGTAAAAGTTGCTGCACATGGAATCAAATTCTCACAAGGATGCCAGGGCTATCAGTAGTATTATATAATTCCCTTGGCAACAGAATCCTGATGCAATTTGTCTTTGCAAGAAAGACCACTCTCAAAACCACACAATACCCAGGATCACAGACTCAGTCAGGTATATCCTTATAAAACATGAGACTAGCAAAGGGCAGAATCTTCTCCTAAAGCACAACCCACAGCATGTTCAATACCACCCTGCTTAGATGACTTTCCTTGAGATGCCAAGACCATGCATTCTGTATTTGTAGCTGATGTACCACCATTGACAGGATATTCTGGCCAAAAAATGTTTATCTTAAATCTTGTCATGAGGAAAGAATTAGACAAATCCAAATTAGGAAACTTGCAAAACAACTGGTATAGATTCTTTAAAAATATCACACTCGTGTCAGGCAAAGAAGACATAGAACTGTGCCTGATTAAAGGACTCTAAGGAAGCACAACTAAGCAGTATGTGACCCTTGAAGTGACTGTTTCCATGAAGTGTTATGCTGCTTGCAACACACACTCAAGAGTTGGGGGAGCACATATGTGGCAAATATTAATATGCAGAGTAAGATATTTAGCAGAACTGAAAATGATGGTATAATATAAATCATAATATTCATAGGTTTTAAAACTGGTTGAAAATATTTTTCCTAATTTTAAAACAATTCTTCCGATACTTAACCTCTCTTCCCATCAGAAAAGTGATTTATGTTGCTGTTAAATGAAAAGTCATTTGAGAAATACTTACGAGAGCAGGCGGCAGTTTGCCACTCCAGACACTGTCCATACGGAAAGGAGATGATGTACGCATTAGAGTCAACGCAGCGCCGCGTGCTGCTGCACCACATGCACTCCATGCCGTTGCTCGTGCAGTTGGCACACGACGTCCTCAGAGAGCACGGCTTCTTGCATGGCCTTGCGTTCTGGTTTGGGCTGACTGGAATAAACCAACAAACAGAACGACTCGTTAACTGTATTTTAACACAAGTATATGGGTTTCCCTTGTTTTGCTTTTAGGAAATGTTTCAATGAAAGCCAAGTGTGGGATAAAATGTATAGCAAAAATACATAAGATAAGTGAAAATGGAGATGACTTGATGATACTTCTTAGATTTATTATCGAACTTGAAAATCATAATTCCTTGGAAAGTTTTAGTCCTTTACAGAGTACATAAAGTTGTATAATTTAAAAAATTAGAAACGTAATACATGACCTACTTTTTCTGCCTATTGGGTAAATGCTATGTGCACTATTGTTCTGTATTTTCCTAACTATAATTTTTCCCATAAATATTCCACACCTTACCAAAGCAATGTCCTGTCAGTGAACATGTCCCTGATAGAAATGAACATATAAATGAACAATTTACTATAAAATCTTTAAATAAAATATATTATCAGATCCATTAGGATTGCTATTATTTTATTAAAATTTTAGCAATTATGTGGAGAAATTGGAAACCCTACACATTGCTGGTGAGAATATAAAATGGTGCAGTTTCTATGGTCAACAATACATCAATTCCTCAAAAAATTAAATAGAATTACCATGTGATATTGCAATCCTACCTCTGGCTATATACTCAAAAGATGTGAAAGAAAGAACTGGAAAAGGTCCTTGTCCAGCCATGTTCATAGCATCATTACTCACAATAGCCAAAAGGTGGAAGCAACTCAAGTGCATACTGATGGAGGAATGGATAAACAAAATGTGGCATATGCATATAATATGTAATTAGTCAGGCTTAAAAAGAAATTCTGACAAATCCTACAACATGGATAAACCTTGAAGACATTATGCGACGGGAATTACCAGTCATAAAAGCATACCCATCGTATGATTCCACTTATGTGAAGTTAGAGCAGTAAAAGTCAGAGGCAGAAAGTAGAAGTGGTTGTCAGATTGGCGGAAGGAAGTGTTGAGAATTATTGTTAATGGGTATGGAGTTTGAGAAGATGAAAGACTCTGGAAGTATATGGTGTTGATAAATGCACAGTGTAGATGTATTTAACAACACTAAACTCTACATTTAAAAATGATTAAAATGGTAAATGTTACGTATATTTTACCACAATAAAAAAATACAGTATTTAAAAAGAGAAAAATAACTGAATATCCCATTCTCACTTAACAAAAATTCATTCAAAATATATAACAGAAATGTTTCTTTTAACTTGCCAAATGAAATAAGAGATCTGCAAGATTAAAATGGTTCTGAATTGGTTGTTAATCTTAAAGACAGATCTTTCTTCCAAATACTATTTTTATAAAAGACATTAATAAATTAGAATAGATTCTTACTGTACTGTAAGGAAGTACAACTATATGTTTATAATCTCACTATTTCAACCAACAAATAAAGAATTATTTTCACAAGTTAATGCTAAGGTCACTAATAGTAAGTAGAGAATATGTATATAGATAAAATTTACGTAAAAATTAGAGAATATAAAAACATGGTGGAAGTTACTTCCAACCTATTGACTATCCGGTAGGTGGTAGGAAGAGAAGTTGGAAACATTGTATTTTGAAAGAAATACTACTTTACCGGACTACTTACCAACAGGTTTTTCACAGACAAGGCCATCTGCCATAGATGTACAAGGATTGGCTTTTAAGCCTGCCACTGCAGCCCTTTCTAGATATGCACAGAACCCAGAATCATTTGGTTCACCCGGAAGCCACTGCAGTGTTGTGTTTGTAAAAGGTGACATGTCTTCCCATCCCCAGTAGGATATATTGATCTTGCGCAAGCCTACCCAAGGTGATACTTTCTGTAAACAATGGTAGAAGGTGCATTAAAAAAGTTAGGTGTAAAAACACTTTTATATTCCATAGCAAGTAGCTCATTATTATTAAAACTTACATTTGAAAATACATAGAACTGCCTTCCTAACAATGTCTAGTACCAAGGATAATTCCCAATCCCAGCACATTTTGGAGAATGATGTAGACTACAGTATTATTTTTAAAACAATGACTTTGTGTTCAGCTACGTGATGGGGACCAATTATTCAGCCCTTGTGAACCTCAGTTTCCTCTCCTATAAAACGGGGATATAAATATATCTGATATAAATACCTACTTTATGAGGCAAGATCATTATAAACTTAACATATTGCTGCCACTATTACTGCTTTTAAATAACACTGATGCTGCTGTTATTACTATTACTATTGCTACCTAGTTTAATCAGCAGTGAAAGTAAGACTAAAGCTAACCTACACTGAAAAAACAGAAAACAAACTTCACAACAGGCTCACAAAACAAAACAAACCTAAGGACTCCTGGTCCTTCTGTACTAGTTAAGTTTCCTAGACATTAGAGTGAAGACTTCACAACAGGCTCACAAAAGGACTAAGAATAATGGCTTCTCTCCTAGTTCATTAGGGAACACTCATGCAATTTTAGATAAATTTATGTCATCTACTTTCATTATTAAAGAGGTGAAAAAAACTGATAAAATCTCTGACCGTTATGCCTAAAATTTAACTAACAAAGGTTGACAAATGCCACAAAACTAATCTTAGTGCTGTTACTAGTATTTCAAAAGTTGCTTGAAAATATAATTTCTTTACATACCTTACTTTAATCACTATTTAGTTTTAAAATA